TACTGGGCCGTGTTTTCTTCATATATAAAATGAGAATATTAATAATGGTTTCACAGGGTTGAAATAATACATAGAAACAGTAAGCGCAGTGGCTGGCACATAGGGTGACCTCTCCTCTTATGTTGGTATCTCCTTGCTGTTGCCTCCCAGGATGGAGTGCCAGAAGGCATGGAGGAAGAAGAAAAACTTAAAGATCCCAAACAAGATGACAGACTCTCTTGATCACCAAGATTAACAAGCCTGTTTACTTCACTGTCCACAGCGTCCACATCCTTAGTATTCTTCAGCAGCCTTAGAGGCATACGTGGGAACTCCTCAGAAGGAAAGAAGAGAAATGTAGCTTAGGGGGAAAGTCTTATAGGAAATTAAAGTGGAAAGTGGGGAAGAGGAAAGAATACGCAGGGTGATAGCAGCTGGTTCAATAAAAGTCTCTTTATTCTTTGAACAATCAAGAGAGTAGGTGTGGCTGGGCATGGTGGCTTATGCCTGTAATACCAACAATTTGGGAGGCTGAGAGAGGCAGATCAGGGGTTCGAGACCAGCATGGGCAACATGGCGAAACCTCATTTCTATTAAAAATACGAAAACGTAGCTGGATGTGGTGGTGGAGGCCGAGGTGGGAGGATCAGGATCGTGTGAGTCCAGGAGGTGGACGTTGCAGTGAGCTGAGATTGCCCCATTGCACCCCAGCCTGGGTGACAGAGCCAGACCCTGTCTTGAAAAAGAGAGTAGGCTGGGCACAGTGGCTCACACCTATAATCCCAGCACTTTGGGAGGCTGAAGTGGGTGAATCACCTGAGTTCAGGAATTTGAGACCAGCCTGGCCAACATAGCAAAACCACATCTCTACTAAAATCAAAAATTAGTCAGGCGTGGTGGTGAGTAACTATAATCCCAGCCAACTGGGAGGCTGAGGCAGGGGAATCGCCTGAACCCAGGGGGCAGAGGTTGCAGTGAGCTGAGATCATGCCATTGTAGTCCAGCATGGGCGACAGAGCAAGACTTCATCTCAAAAAAGAAAAGAGATTGAGAGTGGATGTGGACAGTGGCCTTCTTACCTTCAGGTTCTTAAATCAGAGGCAAATTAATTTCTCAGAGTGAGGCTGCTCATTTTTCATGAGTTTGTTAGTCAAAGTTGTAATTTTTAATTTATTTTTTATTTTTGACACAGAGTTTCTCTCTTGCTGCCCGGGCTGGAGTGCAGTGGTACGTTCTTGGCCCACTGCAGTCTCCGCCTCTCGGTTTCAAGCAATTCTCTTGTCTCAGCTGGAGACTCTCCTGCCTGTAGCTGGGACTACAGGCATGCACTACCATGCTTGGCTAATTTTCACATTTTAGTAGAGATGGGGTTTCACTATATTGGTCAGTCTGGTCTTGAACTCTTGACCTCATGATCTGCAGCCTCGGCCTCCCAAAGTGTTGGGTTTACAGGCGTGAGTCACCACGCCCAGCAATTTTGTATTTTCAGTAGAGACAGGGTTTCTTCCTGTTGGTCAAGCTGGTCTCAAACTCCTGACCTTAGGTGATTCACCCACCTTGGTCTCCCAAAGTGCTGGGATTTCAGGCATGAGCCACCGCACCCAGCCTGAAATGTCTCTTAAAGGAGTTAGGGCCATATGATTGTTCATTTTTAATTTGCAAAGCTATGCTGGTCAGAGGCAGTGTATAAAGGCCATAGCTGTATTAAGGTAAAATTTGATTCTCCTTTGAGGTCCACAATCAGTAGTTCCTAATTTTGATCAGTTTGTTATAAAACTCATTTTTTATGCACTGTAATACATGAGAGAGTGGATTAGAAAAAGGCTTGTATTTGGTTTGGCTTTTGTTGTTTTGTCCTTGGAGTGAGCCAAGCTTTGGTAACGTTAAAATTTAAAAATAGGCTGGAGGCCAGTTGCGATGGCTCACACCTGTCAGCCCAGCATTCTGGGAGGCCGAGGCCAGAGGATTGCTTGAGCCCAGGAGATTGAGGCTGCAGTGGGCCATGATCATACCACTGAACTTCAGCCTGAATGACAGAGCAAGACCCCATCTCTTTAAAAAATAAAGAAAAAAAGAGCACAAGATTGAAGACAGTTGTTAGAACTCCTGGATTTTTATGTCTGTTTCCTAGAGTTAGCTTCTTCCGGTTCAGGTGAACAACACTTCATCCTCCTTATCAGAACAAGTTTTTACTCCTCCCAAGGCCATCCCAAGAGTCCAGTGTAATAATACAGGGAACATATACTTAGAATAGATAGACTATATACTAGCTTTCTTTCTTTATTTCTTTCTTTCTTTCTTTCTTTCTTTTTTTAAATAGAGACAGAATCTCACTATGTTGCCCAGACTTGTTTCAAACTCCTGAGCTCAAGCAATCCTCCTGTCTCAGCCTCCCAAAGCTCTGGGATTATAGATGTGAACGATTGTGCCCAGCCACTGGCTTGCTTTTTTCTTGTTTTCTTATGCTTCGAAAATCTTTATTTGGCTTCAAGGAATTAGATAATCCCAAATCTATACCTAGTAACATTATTAGTACAGTTCACCCAGCCCCATGTGATTGAGCAACCAAGTCCAGTACCTGACTTATGGGGCCAAGAGGCATTGAGAACTTCTTCCCAATGAACCTGCAATGGAGTAGGTCTCTTTAGACTTGCTTTTCATTCTCAGCTTGGAAAAACTCATACACGGCTTCCTAAAGGAAACCGTCATGCTATGGTTTCACTTTGAAATTAAAAACATCTCCAAATAAGTTTATGGAGCATATTCTGCCTCATTGCTTTGCTTAGTACCAGCACAAGAAACACCAGTGGGTCAGCCCCATAGCTTCCCCCACAGATCTGGAGCCGAGAACCTGGATTCTGGACACTCGAACAGTTCTACTCAGAAGGCGTTTAGAATTTGTGCTGATGACTTCCTAGTCCTAACGTACGTCTCCACCATAGGTGTATGTTATTCCTGCAGACAAGCTAGCAGCTTTTATGCTTGGACAAACATGGATTAAGGACCTGCTTAGCAATTTCATGTTTATTGTTTCATTTAATTCCCTGAAGAACCCTCTGAAGGAGGAGGTGGTATTAGCTCTGTTTTATAGATAAGGAATTAAATTCAAAAAAGATTATTTAAATATGTCCTACTTTGTACCCATAAAAATTAAAAATTAAAATTTTTAAAATGACTTACAATCACACAGCTTATAGTTGGCAGAATTAGACCTCCAGAAAGTTAAGCCCAAGTTTTGATCCTTTTGTATTCATGTATGCACGATGATTGGGTTTTTACTATCACGTGTGAGATGTGCCTCCTTCAAGCTTGTTACCATGTCAGCATGTGATCAGTCCGACTTGGGGGAAAAAACCCGTTTTCTGACTCCAAATCCAAGGCTGCTTCATTCCCAACTTGTCCTTAACAAAGAGGCATAAGGGGCTTCAGATACGGGGGACTGTCCTGCTTCCTGTGGGCCTTGGGGAAAATCCCTGGCTTTCCTGGGCTTTAGCTTCCCCATTAGTGAACAGATATGATAACAACTCTCCCTTCCCACAATCTTATGATGTTCAAGGTCAAAGGAGTGATGGGTCGGAAAGATTATTTGAAAACACTTTGTAAACACAAGGCATTACCTTATTACTTTCACAAATGTTAGCTTCTTTAGATTTCTGGACAGTTTCCTTTTGGTTTTATTGGAAGAAATGTGGCGGAATTTGGATTTTTTAAAATAATATTTATAACAGCAATTTCTTGCCATATTACCACATTGAACTCAAATCCTGGAATTTCCCAAAACCACTTAAAAATTAATTCTGGTCAAGTAGACAGTTTGTACTCAAAGCAGAAAACTGGATCCTTGCTCATTAAACCAGTCTAGACGCCCAGGTTGATGTGTCACATTTTGCTCCCTACCTTTAAACAGATATAATCATTGTGGTCTTGTGAATTTCTCAGGCCAGCTCCTCGCCCTCCCCTCTTTTCCTTCCTTCCGTAACTCAGGCTTATATTCAGTGTTGAGCTTAGTTGCATATATTCCTATGGGAACAAGGGTCGAAGCCCCCATGGCTCTTCTGCTTTCAGGGCCACCTAGCAGCCTCTCATGAACCATCTTCAGGCACCAGACCTCCCAGTGGCACTGCTCAGTTGTCCCAGTGCAGTGACAGCCCTCCAGCCTAAAGATGGCATCAGCAGAGCAGGGTGTCATTAGTGAAAAGCATCTCTACAGTAGAAGCCAGTTCAAGGAACTCCAGATGTGGTCCCTTGGCAGCCTTCTCTAAAGGGTGGAAGGGGACAGCCCCTGAAGAGGGTCTAGGGAGGCATCTGAATTTGAAGGGAGTGGGCTCTGTCAGAACACTCAGCATGGCTGCATTGCCACTGCTCCCAGGGTTCTGTCATTGATGTGCATGGCCCAACCTTGGTACCATCTCTGTGTCGTTCACAGTCTGATGCTTTGGAGTAATTTCGTTATTCCAACTACTGAAAGCAACTGATGAGAAGTTAAGACGTAAAAGTTCAGAGGAGCCCGGCGCTGTGATATGTGCCTGTAATCCCAGCTACTCAGGAGGCTGAGGCAGGAAGATCACTTGAGCCCAGGAGTTTGAGACCAGCCTGGACCACATAGTGAGACCCTGTCTCAACAAAAAATGTTCAGAGGATTCTCCTATGGTTGTGTACTGCAACAGGGTTAATTTCGTATCCAAGGTTTCTGGTGTTTCAGAAACAGACACGTGTTGCCCGCCTGCCAGGATCTGAGAAGAAACTAGTCTGTGCTGTTAGAGGAAGGGCCCCAGAACACCAAAGATGAGTGTTCCCATTATTGACCCCCAAAATTAGGGGAGGAGACCAAGAACATTTTTCAGATGAAATTATTTGGACTGAGCTTTCTGCATGGTAATAGATAATTGATACTCTTTTGGCATCTGCAAGACATCGTCCTTAAAGTGCTGGCAAACTATCTGCCCGCAAATGACCCGCACATCTCCTACCCTACCCTCAGACGTGTTGAGTGTAACTACCTCTTCCCTTTGTTTTCTCAGCATTAATAATAAGCTACAGCAGCCAGAGGCAGCAGCCGGAGTGTTGGAATATGCCATGAAACACTTTGGAGAGCTGGTAAGCGCCTCATTCCTTTGCAAAAGCAGGACATAGAAACTTGGCTAGGGAGGTATCTATACGGCCCTGACCTTTAGAAAGTTGCCTTCCTTTTCTGTTTTTTCCCCAATTTGTAACAGTCTAATACTGACTTACCTATCTTCAGGACGAAAGAGACAAACAATAGGCCGGACTGAGTGGCTCACACCTGTAATCCCAGCAGTTTGGAAGGCTGAGGTGGGCAGATCACCTGAGGTCAGGAGTTCAAGACCAGCCTGACTAACATGGTGAAACCTCGTCTCTACTAAAAATACAAAAAATAATTAGCCGCACAGAGTGGCAGGCACCTGTAATCCCAGCTACTCAGGAGGCTGAGGCAGGAGAATCACTTGAACCTGGGAGGTGGAGGTTGCAATGAGCTGAGATCATGCCACTGCACTCCAGCCTGGGCGACAGAGCAAAACACTGTCTCAAAAAAAAAAAAAAGAAAAGAAACAAACATGGTCTATAGGGACTATATTTCAGCTGAACATAAATCATGAGGGTAGACGTGAATACATAGTAAGCACTGATTTTATCAAACTCTTAGCATGTGCCTGGCCCTTGGCTAAGTGTTTATATACTTCATCTAATTTGGTCCTCACAACAATGCTATAGTGGTTTCGGAGTTTTTTTTTTTCTTTCTTTTTTCTACTTCCTGTTGATTTGTAAAAGTGGTTACTGTTGTTATCACATTTTACAGCTGAGAAGACTGTGGTCCCAGCAGGTTAAGAACCTGTCTGAGCTGACAGACAGGATAAATGGCAGAACCAGGACTTGAACCAGGGCGGTCTGACATTAGAGCCAAGGCATTTGCCCCTGATCTGAGTTATCTTTGTGGGAGCTTGCATTGTGTCTAGGCCACAGCTAATCCTCGCTGCATGCTTAGGAAGACACCGTGGTAGTTCTTCAGAAAATATATGCTATAATTGATACCTGACATTGAGGGATTTTTGTGTTCGTTATTGCTTACATAGCTGCTTCTCTACTGCCATCTTTGGCCTTCCAATATTTAAAATGTTTCTGTTATTCTTTGTGGTCTTGGCAGGGCATTTTGATAACTTCCAAAATATATAAAGCATCAACTTAGCATAGAATTCCTGGAAGGTCAAGAAGTTCTAGATCCATATATTTGATGAGGAACCTTTCATTAGTCATGTAGGTCGTTTACTGTGGTTTGCCTTGATCAGGAGCCCAGGATATTAAAGTGAGAAAAATTTTGAATATTTAACAGGCTTTTGTTTGATCATCCAGCATTTTGCCTCACAGACAGGCTAGTAAATTAGAATGAAACTTTTAAGGGAATCTTTTGCCCTCTTTAGCACATATTATCTGTAACTAGACTAAGACAGCATTTCTCCAGTTGATGGCACAATAGAAAGAACTATGTCTCATCCATCCTTGCCACAATCCTTGTTTGCAGAGAGAAGAAAGTAGGGCGAGAGGGCACTTAATGTACTCCACCTAGACCAAGATGTTCTCTCCTTTGATATCCTTAGAGCTTAGATCCCAGTAAGTGCTGATTGAAACAAGGACTCCGCAGACATCTGGTATTCAGGTGATCTGCCAGCAGTTGGTTTATACCCATACTCAGAATGCCAACCTTCAATGAAAGTTTCTCCATCTTCAGGTTCCAAAGGTGGCTATTAGCTCCAGGATTATTGCTAAACCTGTGGTGGATTTTCTGTTATATTTAGGTAGCTGAATCATATTAAGCTTGACAATGGTTTGCTTTTTCTTGGCAGAGCCTGTGCTTTCTCAGCACAATTTATGTAACAGCAGTCTCATTAGAATTTTGTGTGATTCTCTGCTTAAACCTTATAGTTTCTGCAATCTATTGCAATTCAAAATATCTTGCCCTCTAACTGACCCACTCCATATGCTGCCCCCTCTTCCCCTCTGCTTGTTCATGCTGAGTGTATGCCACACATTAGTCACCAGCTCTTTTTTTTTCTTTTTCCACCAGTGTAGAAATTTGAAATGAAAAATGTACCAGTGCTTTTAAATTTGATATTGTTTTTGTAGTCACTCTTTTAAGTTTTCTATTTTGTATGTAGGCATAATAGGCATTACTTTGTACAGGCTTGGAAAATGAAGTTGAGATAGTTTGCCTTACATGGAGCCAGATATGCCCATTTTGACAAACTCCACTGATGTTGGGGGAAGACTTCATGGCAGCAGAATTAGTCCAGGGGCAGCAGAGGGCACTCGCTCTGCCAGAAAGAACCAGAGAAGGGGAAGTAGGTACAAGGGAACAGCCTCTGACATAAATGACCTCCTTTCAGAGGTTCAAGAAGAAGAGGTTATTTTAGACGGCTTAGCAGAGTAGTTGTTAGTCTACATATTGCACAAACATCAGTTTTATTTATAAAGGGGAAGAGGGTAATGGGAGAAACTAGTGTGGGTCCTGCATTATATCATACAAAGTTCACTGCAGAATCATAGTGTTGTTAAAGAAATCCCTAGAGAGCTACTACCCTTGCCTGTGCAAAAATAGTCATTTATTGAGCTGGTGATGAAGCAGCCCAGGAGAGAAACTGAGATGGAGGGCAGACAGAAAGCAAATAAAATAGTCTCCTGATCATTTAGAGAGTCATAGTCTATAGCTTTCAGCCTGTAGCACCTCCTACTCACGTGGACAATACCCAGTTTCAGCATGGCACACCGTCTGCTAGGGTAATGGAATCCCTCCTTTGGCCCCTGACACTGGTAAACCTGCCAAGCACTGAGCAGGAGGGAATATTGGAGGGGAGACTCTAGAAGAATAGGGGAAAGGCTTTCCAAAGAATTTTAAGTGGTGGTGGTATATTTTAAATTATTATTTCCTGAAAGTTTAAAAATGCATTAAAAATGCAGAGGATCAAGAACTTTTAACAAGTGAGTTGTTTTCCTCCAGCAAATATGCACACGAGGCCTGGTCTTTCTGGCCCCATCAGGAAAGCAGCTGCCATCCCTGATAAGTAGCCCAGTGTCAGCACTCTAGCAGATTGGAGCAATGGCACCTTTGCAGCAGCTCTGGAGCTCTGATCAGGGTTTTCTCCTGTCCCTAAGTGATTTCCCCTGTCCTCACATCCCCACATCCTGGTGTTCTGGTGACCCATGTGTCTGGGGAGGAAATAATGGGGGAGGAGAATGGCCTGACATCTGCTCTCAGATAATCCCAGGATCATTCCATCCATGTGCATTCCCACCTTCCCCAAACAGCACACCTCCAGATCGTCTCAAGCTCTTTTTAATCCAAGGCCACACATACTGTGATAGGTGAAGGGTCATGCATACAGCAGCTCATTAGGAAAGAGAGTATGTGAATTAAAAAATGTGATCCCTTCATCTCTGTGCCTCACAGCAGTCTTCTTTCTTTTCCATGTGACAGGAGATCCAGGCTACCTGGTATGAGAAACTGCACGAGTGGGAGGATGCTCTTGTGGCCTATGATAAGAAAATGGACACCAACAAGGATGACCCAGAGCTGATGCTGGGCCGTATGCGCTGCCTTGAGGCCTTGGGGGAATGGTGAGCTTCCTAGGATGATGGCATGTGTGGGTACAAGAGACTTTTCTCTTTGATAGTTGGATTTGAAAGGAAGGCTTCCCTCAAACGGAGTTCTCATTTCAGACTCATTTTGTTCTACTTGATATGTCTCAGGACTCATCTTTCACTTTTGGTGTTTTTCTTTCTCCATTCTGTCTCAGCTGCTAAGTAGCAAGGCCTTCACTGAAACTTTACAATGCTGTAGGCAACAGCCTTGGGGGTGCTCCTAGGATCTGCTTTTCCTTCTGTCTACTCTCTTGATCTTTACTGATCCAGTGAAGAGCTCAGATTCCTACTTGGCAACCTTGGTTTTTTAAACTAGCTCTTGCAAATGCTTTTAGGAAAGAACAATGACTGCCCTCTTCAGGTGCTTCACCTATATCGGATGCTGACTGTGTGTTCAGCACTATGCCAGGCTCCAAGGAAACAAGACACGAGAAAGCAGCCCTTTCCTGTGAGGTTGATGAGACGGGCACATCAACAGAGGGTTATTAAAGCCTGAGAGGATGTTGACGGTGCTTGAAAGCCCAAAGGAGGAGGCAGGGTTATCTTGTAGTACTTACTGGAGGAAGGACTGGAAGTTAGGAGACAGGTAAAGGAAAAGAGAGAGGGGCAAATAGGTACTCCAGGTGGAAGCAACAATAATATTTAACTGAGAACATCTGGCTAGGTTTTGGTTTGGAGAGTTGCTTGGGAGTGAAGGATAAAAATGGCCTCCATTCTGTTTCCAGCACCAAGTGCAATTAAAAAAAAATAAAATGAAATGCTATACTGTTATTGTTAAATTGTTTAACTGCAGTTTTAAAGGACTAAAACAGCCCAGGCATGGTGGCTCATACCTATAATCCCAGCCCTTTGGGAGGCCGAGGCAGGCACATCATTTGAGGTCAGGAGTTTGAGACCAGCCTGGCCAACATGGCGAAACCCTGTCTCTACTAAAAATACAAAAATAAGCTGGACATGGTGATGTAGGCCTGTGATTCCAGCTACTCGGGAGGCTGAGGCAGGAGGATCACTTGAACCTGGGAGGTGGAGGTTGCAGTGAGCCAAAATTGGACCACTGCACTCTAGCCTGGGCGACAGAGCAAGACTTTGTCTCAAAATAAATAAATAAATAAATAAATGAGGCTGGGCACGGCGGCTCACGCCTGTAATCCTAGCACTTTGGGAGGCCAAGGCTGGTGGATCACAAGGTCAGGAGATCGAGACCATCCTGGCCAACATGGTGAAAACCCCGTCTCTTCTAAAAATACAGAAAAATTAGCTGGGCATGGTGGCTCACGTCTGTAGTCCCAGCTGCTCAGGAGGCTGAGGCAGGAGAATTGCTTGAACCCAGGAGGTGGAGATTGCAGTGAGCCGAGATGGCGTCACTGCATTACAGCCTGGGCAACAGTGCAAGACTCCATCTCAAACAAAAAAAAAATGACTAAAATAAAGTGCCATGCTACCTCCCCACTAGTGGATAATTCCAACTTTGTCTTGAATATGATACTGAGGGTTCACTGTTCCTTCATTCAACCAGTGAGTATCAAGTGCATGTTCATTGCCGGTGTCTGTGCCAGGCCCTAGAGACAGCTGTGAGCAAGAGTCTCGGTCCCTGCCTTCCCAGAGCTTACAGGGCAGAAAACCAGGCTATTGTGGTACATTATGATGCCAGGAATAAAGAAGCCCAGGGGTCTGTGGGTAATAGGAAGCACCCTAATCAGGCGTGGAAGGTTGTGGAAGGTTTCCAGGAAGAAGCTATGATATCTAATTTGGACCTGTAAAGTGAGGAGCACAGTATGGGGGATTTTATCAGGCCTTTTGTTCAGATTCTTCTCTGTGACCCCTGTCTTCAGAATAAGGACATTCCTTTCCTCCAGGTATAGGGAAGGCACCTCTCACAGTAGAGCCTTATGACCTCCTTCAGGGAAGGTCAAAATTATTTTTCCTAGATGTTATGACCTGCTTCAGAGGATAAGGGGCAAGGGATGGTCAGAGTGATTTTTTTTTGCTGCCATTTTCTCAAAATATTCAGTATGTCACAGTGCCATATTTCAGGGTCACAGGGATGTACAGTGATGGTAATGTGCTGTTTATACCGTGTGGCGCTCTACTGTTTTCACTTAACAAGTCCAGACCACGGTTCCATATCAGCACCTATAGAGCTACTGCCTCATTTTTTTAATAGCTGCATGATATTTAATCATACAAATAAATCTAGTGTATTTAATATAGACAATTTTTATTTGTTAGATATTTTCTACCTTGGAAAATTTAAGAATATTAGACAAAATCAAAGCAAGTCTTCTAAAAGAGTGATCTCTCCTTTATAGCTGGAACTACAGCCATACTCCACCACAGCAGGCTAGCTTTTTAAATTTTTTGTAGAGACGGGGTCTCACAGTGCAGTCTAGGCTGGTTTCGAAATCCTGGGTTTGAGTGATCCTCCCTCTTCGGCTTCCCAAAGTGCTAGGATTATAGGTGTGAGCCACTGTGCCCAACGTTCTTTTTTTTTTTTTAAGAAACAGGATTTTACTCTCTCAGTGGAGTACAGTGGTGTGATCATAGTTCACTATGTCTTGAACTCCTGGACTCAAGCAATCCTCCTGTCTCAGCCTCCTGAGTAGAAGGAACTACAGAAATGCACCACCATGCCTGGATAATTTTTAAAAATTATTTTTTGTAGAGACAGGGTCTCGCTATGTTGCCAAGGTTGGCCGTTATTTCTTAATATAAAATTATTACTACATTCCGAAGATAGAAGATGTTATGTTTTGCATGAAAATTTAATGTCAGTGAATGTATCCTTAGTCATTGGATCATGTATGTGTATGTGTGTGTGTGTGTGTGTGTATGTATATATATATATATATATATAGAGAGAGAGAGAGAGAGAGAGAGAGAGAGATAATCTGAAATTATTTGAAAGTGGCTTGTCTGATTTAACCATCATTAGGTAGATTCAAAAGTGTGATTTATTTTTATAAATTAGCATTCAAAGGCTGGGTGTAGTGGCTCACACATGTGATCCCAACACTTTGGGAGGCTGAGGCGGGCAGATTGCTTGAGCCCAGAAGTTTGACAACAAGCCTGTGCAACAACAGCAACAATTCCATATTGATTTACCTCAATAAATTGAGGAAGCATATCCTTTCAAATCTGCTTTATTCATTTGTGTAACTAAAGCTGCTGTTTTTTCTTTTTAAGTCCAACAAGTATCTAATTTTTTTTTTTTTTTTTTTTGAGGTGGAGTCTCACTCTAGTCACCTAGGCTGAAGTGCAGTGCTGTGATCCTGGCTTACTGCAACTTTTACCTCCCAGGATCAAGCGATTTTCCTGCCCCAGCCTCTTGAGTAGCTGGGACTACAGACAGGCACCACCACTCCGGCTAATTTTTGTATTTTTAGTAGAGACTGGGTTTCGCCATGTTGGCCAGGCTGGTCTCGAACTCCTGACCTCAAGAAATCCGCCTGCCTTGGCCTCCCAAAGGCTGCGTGAGCCACTGCACCCAGCCTTATGGCTATTTTTACATTAAATCAAATGTAAAATTCAGTTCCTCTGTCGTACCACGTTTTAGGTGTTCAGTAGCCATATGTGGTCAGTAGCTGTTGTATGGGACAGTGCAGATAGAGAACCTTTCCATCATCACAGAAAGCTCTATTGTACAACACTGATCTAAGGCAAAAGAAAAGTATGTTAATAAGATTAGCCGCATTATTTCAAAAACAATTTTTCTACTTTCAGATCAGCTGTCCTATAGTCATATCTTGTTATGAGAAAGATAAAATGAGGCCAGGCACAGTGGCTCACACCTGTAATCCCAGCACTTTGGGAGGCCAAGGCAGGCGGATCATGAGGTCAGGAGTTTGAGACCAGCCTGACCAACATCGTGAAACCCCGTCTCTACTAAAATACAAAAATTAGCTGGGCATGGGTGGCGCGGGCCTGTAATCCCAGCTACTCGGGAAGCTGAGGCAAGAGAATTGCATGAACCCAGGAGGCGGAGGTTGTGCTGAGCTGAGATGGCGCCACTGCAGTGCACTCCAGCCTGGCCGACAGAGCAAGACTCTGTCACAAAAAAACAACGAGATTGAAGTGTTCTTAAAATTCAACTCTAATCAATTTCTAAAATACTTAAGTGCCTTACTGTTGCCATTGGATTTACATAAAAATATCACAGCCCGGCATTCAAAGTCTTTCCCGTTGTGGCACCAGCCCACTTCTTCAGCACATTTCTCAGTGAACCCTTATCTCATAATCTGAGCTCTGGCCAAAGTATTCACTCTTCTCCAAATCCCACATTCATTCATTTCATTCTCTGAATTGCCTTCTTCTTCTGCTCCTTTTTCTACTTTTGAAATCCTCTCCACTGTGTCTTCCTTCTTGAAACCCCTCCTGGCCCCTTCCGTTTCCACTCCTCTCCTTTCAAATTAAAGACGACCACTTTTCCGAGCTGGGTTGGTAGGAACAGATTAGATGCATTGGAAGCGACTTGAGATGTGCTTTCCTCCAATTCCTTTGTGTTAATGGTTGAAGAAACTGAGGCTTACAGCAGTTGAGGTAACTGAGCTGAGTGATTATTGATCTCCTAATGTTACTGTTCTCAGTCCCATATACCTCTGATCTCTTGGGATCTGTCCAGTTTTATAATTACCTGTAAAGTGTAAGTGGCTAGTAATGCTGACCAAAGGATTTAAGAATGTGGGAGACTTTTTTAAAATGAGATGAACGAACAATGTAAAAGTGTTCCTATTTCTCCACATCCTCTCCAGCATCTGTTGTCTCCAGATTTTTTAATGATCGCCATTCTAACTGGCGTGAGATGGTATCTCAATGTAGTTTTGATTTGCATTT